ACGGATCCAGAACTGAATTCTTTAAACAAAATGGCCGCCAGTCGGACATTTCAAACCCGATCCCCCAAAAAAATGACGTGCATCAAGGTCCTATTATGTTTAATGTATGTACTAAATTTGAACAAAATCCATCCATGCATAACTGAGATCCGGGTCCGGAATGGTGAAAATGTGCAATTTTGATGCATTTTCGGCCTTAAAATGGCCGCTATTCGGCTATCGTTAATCGGATCATGAGAAAAATGCATGTGCGTATGTCCCATATAATGTGTGATGTATGAGTGAAGTTTGAACTTAATCAGTCCATGCATGTTCGAGATACAGGTGATCATGGACGCACGGACGCACACAGGGCAAAACACAAGTCCCCGTTTTCGGACTACGTCCGAACGGGGACTAATTATCATTATTAAATTGACGACAGACATTAACAATCACTCATACGATAAGTTCCACTTGACAAAGTCGACAGCGGAGCTAAAAACAGAGAGACACATTTTCATGGACTTAGTAACACTGATTGTATTCCATAAATTTCAGCTGTAAATACTGCACTGTTTTCTGTACATTGCCCAGCAATTAGTCTGTCATGTGACATTTGTGTAAACAAATAACAAGCTAGTACAGGTATGTTCAAATGAGTTAATTTCTCTATATCCAGGCTTTCAAACAATATTAGGTAAATCAAGGTTTTGCATAAGTCAACAGAGAGAAATTTTTTGAAAATGTCATAACACGTTTCCCACTACTTTAATTGTTGTTTCTAACCACATTTTTGCTGCAGCACACTCATTTAGATTGTTAACTTCCACGAATACTGCTCATTTCAACATATAATCCATATAAAAAATAGCTTTTACCAATTTTTGGACAATTTCAAAAAAAGAATTGTTTTCAGGTCACTTGACACCATGCTTAAGGCAGTAAAATGTTAGAACACTGGATTTCACAGTACCTTAGTCATTTTTAACATTTCTTCACTGTCCCAATTACTACCATTTCCATTTCCAAGTTCTTCAATTTTTGAAAGTATTTCATCTTCTGTCATAAGATCATCTTCTTTTTCACTATCAGAGAATTTAGGAATATCTTTCATCAATTTTCTGAGAGACCTTGAAAATAAGAAGACATGGTATAGCTGGACAATTATCTTGTTTTAAAAAAAAATATTTATTTAGACCATACAACAAATTGTTGGTATTTTAAATACTTTTTCAAAAAGAATATATAGTCAACTCATTTAGATTAACTCATTCAAACAAATTTGTGTGCTAGTTTTGAATCAAATTAACATAATTTCTCATCAGCGACATGTCTCAATCAAAAGTTTTGAAACAAATATGTAATGGACAGATATTGTGCAACAATATTTTGTGAAAGATGGCATCTAAGAGGGTTAAAGGTCAAATATAAAATTGTTTATAAAAGTGAAATTAATCATATGTGGTTTTCTTGACAAAATATAATTAAGACGGAGTACTAACCGAATTGGAAATTCAACCATTTTTTTGTCAACACTTTCTGCATCTCCTTGTGAAGTGGCATCTTGTTTGTCTCTGCTCATATTATGTTGTCTGCCTGGAACCAGATATCCCCATCCATGCTTGTCATCACGATAAAGTGGAAAACCATCCCATGTTAATCTCAATAGCTTTGGGGTGACCTGCACTTGTGATGTTATCAAACTAGGACCAGGCTTCCAATCTGAATCTACTTTGAATCTTGGACATAAATCTCTGTACCAGCTTGGAAGCAAAATAAAGTTATCATAAAGATACACTTAAAAAAAAAACAATAATTAATTCAATATATTCCATTTTTACCAAATGTAAATGCATACATGCCCAAATCACAACAATATGTCATTGGCAATTGCATTTAGAAATTATCTTGGCAGCTGTGTTCAGAAATATCATTGGCAGTTGTGTTCAGAAATATCTTTGGCAGCTGTGTTCAGAAATATCATTGGCAGCTGTGTTCAGAAATATCTTTGGCAGCTGTGTTCAGAAATATCTTTGGCAGCTGTGTTCAGAAATATCTTTGGCAGCTGTGTTCAGAAATATCTTTGGCAGCTGTGTTCAGAAATATCATTGGCAGTTGTGTTCAGAAATATCTTTGGCAGCTGTGTTCAGAAATATCATTGGAAGTTGTGTTCAGAAATATCATTGACAGCTGTGTTCAGAAATATCATTGGAAGTTGTGTTCAGAAATATCTTTGGCAGCTGTGTCAGAAATA